CGTGGGCATTGTCGGTAACAAGATATGCAGCTACGCCATAGGCTGCTTCAGACGCATCGCAGAAGACATGGAGCGCATGCGAGACATTGGGTGATGCGTTGCCGACGTACCGAGGGAAGGCTACAGTATGCGCTTCTTCTAAATCAATCGCAATACTCTGCCATCGATCCAAGATTTCAAGTGGAAGAGGGTCATCCCAGCCTACATCTAACTTCCACACGGCCTGGAGAAGTATCTTGGCGCGCACCAGAACAGGAGAAAGCAATCCAAGGGGATCGAAGAACTTGGCCACGGTTTGCAGTAGGTGACGTTTGGTTGCTATGACGGCATGAGTGGCAGCGACCTTTGTACAGTAGAGACTATCTTGACAGGTATCCCAAAGCATACCAAGGCACTTTTGTGTACCGGTTGAAGCGCAATCGAGTTCGGGAACGTGGTGAAGGAACTCTGGACTGTTGCTGGACCATTCTCGGGCATTCATCGATGCGGCTGAGAATAACTTCTTCGTTGCAGTCTACTTATGAAGAGCCTCATCAGGAGAGGTTGTGCCGATAAACAAGTTGTCTACATAGATATTCTGAAGAAGTTCTTGCGCGTGTGGGACGTCGGCAATAGAGAGATGATGGCGAACAGTAGCTGCTAGAAGGAAGGGGCTACTGATCACCCCGAATGGCACACGACAGAAGCGGTAGACGACAAGATTCTCTGGTGAGGGTGGTTGATCAAGGTCCTTGACCCACAGAAAACGAGTGACGTCTCTGTCCGCTTTGCATAGGCTAAGCTGAAGGAAAGCTTTTTCTATGTCACTGGAAATGGCAATAGGCGAAAGGCGGAAACGCAGAAGGACTCTAGCGAGATCAGGGACGAGGTTCGGGCCAGCAGCTAGGCAGTCGTTCAGGCTGGGGTGGGAGCGTGAGAGCTTGGCAGAAGCATCGTAGACTATTCGGAGCTTTGTAGTCGTGTGTGAAGGCTTCTCTACGCAGTGGTGGGGAAGATGATGCACAGAATTCGAAGTGGGCCCATGCGGTACTATCTCAATAATGCCTTTGGTCAACTGATCTTGCAACACGCTGTTGTACTGTTGAAGAATAGTACGCTTTGACGTGACACGCTTCAAAAGGGAGGTCAGTCGGCCCAGTGCTAATCCGTTGTTGGATGGAAGTTTGTCGTGCAGGTCCCGCTAGAGGGTGTAAATCATTCCACAGCTTAGCACATTGGAAGGAAGCGCCATGACGGGTAAAGGTAGTTCTGAGCATGGGCAACTTAAGAGTGCGTGATACAAGGCTGCGCGTTGCAAGACCATTATTTAAGTGCTCGAACATTTGACTTAATGTGACATTACAGCGGCCTTCCAAACAGCGCCACGTCAAATACAGTAATTTCTTGCAATACATGGATGCCAAACGATCTAGACCAAGTCTCGCAAATAAAGGACTTGATGGACTACGAAAACCAGTATCGTACACTGAACGCAAAGCTCGCTTTAGCATTTGTTCAAGCCTACCTAACTGGGTTAAGGAAAGGCCAGCAGAAAAACAATTTGATGCATTTATATAGAAAATCTGGCAACACTAGGCACTTTACAAAGGTTTCTCGGCAAGTTAGCGGAATATTGTGTCGATTTCGGAACAGAATACCAATTTTACTGGCAAGTTTGGTGACCATAGAATCAACTTGAGTCCTCCAAGAAGGATCCTGGTCCAAATGTATTCCAAGGTACTTTGCACATGTCACTTGCTTGAGCTGCACTCCATGACAGCAGACTGCAAATTGGTGGTCAGTAATATGTGGCGTAGACAGGAAGAGCACTTGTGTCTTCCGGGCATTTAGAATTAAATTGCGGTTTGACAGCCAGGTACTAATGGCTGAGACAGCTGCAGACAGGAAGTTGCTAAGCGCATTCTTCTGCGTACTGCAAACATATAATAGAATATCGCCAGCAAATTGAATAACTTTCACACAAAACTCGGAGACAATGGACTGGATCGAACGAACATAGAATACTAAAAGCAGCGGACCAAGAACAGAGCCCTGGGGAACGCCACACATGCAGGGGAAAGGAGGGCTATAGTTCTCAGCAATGTGCACTATTTGGCGACAAATAGTCAGCAAACCAAACTAATGCTTAATCAGATATGCCAAGCTCAAACAAATCATTAATGAGCACTTGGTGCCTGACCTTGTCAAATGCTTTGGACATATCCACGAGCACAGCGCCAGTAATTTGTCCCGCATCGCAAGCGCGAACAAACGTGTATATTCTGTGAAAGCTGTCAAAAAAAAAAGCCGAAGTCCATTTCCACTCCAGCCACTCCCGGTGTGGGGGGGGGGGTGTGGTCGGATTCCACAGGCTCCAAGTACACCTACTCCGGATTCGGCCAATCGATCACTTTCACTCGGAGCGTACTTGCTCTCGATTCAGCCAATCAATCGTGCCCCTAGGCAATGACGGCAAACACATAAGATCAGTTGTGGCGACAAACGCGATTAGGCCGTCTGCAGGACACCGTAATGTCGCACCCGCCCCAGCACCATTCAAACATTTCCCTTAGGCAGTTCATGGTACAAACTTCAACAAAGCCCTGTGTAATGCGTACCAGGGGAAGGCTAGACAGCATGTCTCTAGACACCAATAGGCATTGCATGAAAAGGCAGTCAATAGCACTAAATAGCGAAGCCTTTTTCAAAGTCCGGTTTCACTCGCGCACCGGGCCCAAGCTGGCAGCACTAACAAACGCCGGGCACGAGCTGGCAGGACAAAAAAAACGCCGTACTCGCACGAATACCGTTGGGTCAACGGATGGCCACAGCCATAAAAATAGGAACAAATCCATCCACGGCCTCTTTCTCTTGCTAGCTGTGCTGCTGCGTGCATGCAACTGTTTTGCGATTTCTCCCTCCCACCCACGCCTCCTGAATTTATTATCGCTCTACACTATCCTATGTCTCACAATGAGTGTCGCTCAGCATGATGGTACTCCAAGCTACATGTATTTGCATGATTTGATATGTCCTTGCTCACTATTCTTGACAAGAATTCAATTGCAATGAAGCGCCCGTGGCCGGCGGGGGCATTCAGCGGCTTGGTCTGATTCCTAGCTTGTTGGTAACCGGCTTGAGATTTCCAAGGTTGCTGTGACAACGTGCAGTCATGCGCAGGGCCACCCAACATGCAGTTCACGGCTGTTTCAGCCAGCGATTTTTGGCTATTTAACATGGGGGGGGGGGCCAACATGCACCTTCTGGTTTTATCTGGCATTGTCTCCATGACTCCTCCAACATCAGGATGTTGTTCGCTAACCTTTTCAGCCGCAGTAATTCCACTCAAACTCGTGGTGAGCACAGCAATTTACTGATTGTCCCAGCCAGCCCAACTGCATATCTTGCTAAACATGTTACCTATGCTGGGACCATCTTATGGAACCAGCTCCCCGCTGCGGTCAGGCAAGAAAGAAAATGCAATCGCTTTAAGTCAATGGCTCTTGCCTTCTTGCTTACCAGATAAATAAGCCTCTTTACGAATACTGTATGCACTGCTCTTTCCGTTATTTTCTTCCTATGCAAGTCGCAACTCCTGTTTTGAATTGTTTTTCTTCTCTCTTTTTCTTTCCCTAATAGTTGCTGTTACACTCACTGATCCTTATGCACAGATATACAGCATTCCCTCACTAGTGGGACCATTGTTATTAGTCTAGGGCCTGTTTTGGACTTCCCACTCTAAATAAAGAATACAAACAAACAAACAAACTACTCGTCTTGCCAATGCATTGAGGGCGTTTGGTAGCCTCCTCCAACCAATTTTCCGGAACTCGGGTCTATCGCTTGGAATCCGACGTCACGTCTACCAGGCAGTGGTCCTTGCAGTGCTGCTGTATTAGTAAGGTTCTGAGACCTGGATGCTCAACACCCCTCCTGCACAGGTTGGACACGTTCCATCGGCAGTGTGTTCGCAAGATTCTGAGTGTTACTCGAGACCAACAGTGGCAGGAACATCTGTCAAGTGAAGACATGGCGAAGCGCAGCAGCATGCCAGCCTCTCTGCAGGAGTCCATTCGTGCAAATCGCCTGCGGTGGCTTGGTCACCTTGCAAGGATGGACGACACCAGGTTGCTAAAGCATATCCTGTTTGCAGAGGGCACCAACATGCGGCCCCGCCATGGACCCAGGCATTGTTGGAGAGATGTGGCAGCTTCAGACGACCGGCGACCGGTATTCCGGAGGCGCAATGGTACCACCTTGCTCAGGACCGGAGGGACTGTCGCAAGCTTAGCCGTCGGAAGCCAGCAAGCCAGCCCCAACCAAGAGTGTTCGTCTATGTCTGCGGCCACAACTTTCGCCGTCCGAATGATTTATCCCGACACAAGAATTACTGTCTCGCCTAATGGCTATCATCGCCATCGGCGATGGGCTTTCCAAAGGTCCAAAGGTGTGTGTGTGTGTGTGTGTGTGTGTGTGTGTGTGTGTATAAAACTGGTTATTTAAACCGTTTATGTAGTGGATGTCCACTTAAAGCCCTAATGAATACCTTGGTTTGCACTCAAGGCGTAACATTCCAACTTGTTCCATGCCGCCGCGACACTCCAACGTTGTGATACATTGATGGTGGAAGAGGTTAAGATGCCGTAGGTCCGGAGCCTTCATTGTTCGGGTAGATAGCACCACGGCAACCTACACGCCACACGACACTGTAGACTCAATGACCACACACGCACGCACGCGCACACACACACAAACACACACACGTTGGCTTATGTTACCGATGTTGACTGTAATTTTGTTTCACAGAGGCATGCAGCGAGTGCTGCAAGTGAGAACTTGATCCAGTGGAAATGAATTCCTCGCATTTCTGTCTTAGGAATGAAACAAGACAGCCCCTCTCTGAAACCCGATAACCCCACCGTTGTTATAGTGGATGACCAGTTGTAAGGCCCTAATTGCATGATGATTACCTTGGTTTGTACTCAAGGCTTAACACACCAACTTGTTCCATGTCTGTGCAGCGCTGAACAGTACAACACAAGGTTCTAATGTGTCCCGACAGCCACAACAAAATAGCGGTAAGGCCAGCAATACCATGTTAATGTACTGTGTGTATTGCTCCTGTACAGATATACCTGTGTGTTTGTGTGTGTGTGTGTGTTTGTGTATGTGTGTATGTGGTGTGTGTGTGTGCACGCATGCGTGTGTGTATGTGTGTGTGTAAATAAAAATAATAAACACAGCTCGCATCTTCACTGAACCTGTTAGACAGGAGCAGAGTCGACGCATCTGTCAACAGTGCCAAGCCAGTGTGTGTAAAACAAATAATAATAATAATAATAATAATAGCACATTTCGCGTAGTAGAGCACTAAATAAAGAAATTCAGTGTTTTTTCCGCTTCTGTCTTGTGAGCATCATCAGCTAGGTGTAGTAGCTGCTGATACCGATTTCTCGCCGGGTGTCGAGCTGCACAGTTTCCTCCAGTCTGTCTTGTCTGCTGCTTGTTGTCGGCACCTGGAAAGGTCTTCCATGGTCTTCATTGGCACACCCAGCTTATTCAGCTGAGCAACCAGACTTGTGGCCAGTGTCAACCTTGGCCGTCCACGAGGTGCTTTGTTGCCCTTGTCAAAATAGCCGCTCATGGCTACTTGCGGTGGCGTGTCCGTGTCCATCCGTAGCACATGACCGGTCATTCGTAGTCGCCTACATGCAACTGTGTCTGATATAGGGTTGCTCTTGGTCCTGCGGTATAGGTCGTCGTTTGAAATTGTGTCTGGGTATCGTATTCCAAGGAGTGATCGCATTTGACGCCGGTGGAATGCGTCTGCCTTGGCCATTGCTGTTGACGATAATCCCCAGGTCTCGCAATTGTACAGGAATGTCGGCAGTACAATAGCGTTGTACAGGCGTAAGCGTGTCTTCTCCGCTACTTTATCTCTACGCAGCCATAGGGCGTACAGCTGGCCAAACACGCGAGAGGCAAGTTCCATCCTGCGCCGAACATCCTCTTCCTCCCCCATCAAGGAGCCAAGCTGCCTAGATGTCCGCCAGCTCTCGGAATCAGGTGACACACGGATCCACTCTGTTTTATCTGGATTTACTTTTAATGACCAATCGTGCAGTGTGTCTGCTATTACAGGCAGAGCATTCTCAAGCCACAGCCTGCAGGTTGAATAATAGGAGATGTCATCTGCATAGCCCGTCTCTGGTGGTAGACTTGCGTCGCCAGCAGGGCGGGGCGCGAGACGAGTTCTGCATTCCTGTAGTGCAGCCTCCAGATAGCAGATGAAGAGAACTGGGCTGAGACTGTCGCCTTGTGGTGTTCCAATAGTGCTCTCAAACGGTTCAGCTGTGGCACTTGCAACCTTAACAGTGATAGTTGTGTTGTGGAGTAGGTGGTGGATGAGACATGTGCAATCTGGATTGGTGATTGCAGACATCACCTCCAGCAGCTTCAGGCGGTTAATCGTATCGAAGGCCTTGGACATGTCCAGGCCTAGAATGTGAAATTGCTGTCGGTAACGAATGGCTCTTGCAGCGATCCACCGCTGGGTCCATACCACGTCCGCTGTACTACGGCCCGGGCGGAAGCCGGACTGTGTAGTACCAAGATGACGAGAGAGTGCCCCGGATTCCGTGATGCGCCGAAGCACAATGATCGATATCACTTTGCGGATAGAGTTTAATAAAGTGATGGGCCGCAGACTGGTTACAGGACCCTTGGGCTTGTTAGGCTTAGCGAGAGGTAGTAAAACAAATGAAAAATGAAAAAAGGGATTCATTGGCCAGACAAAGCCACTTCAACCAGCCGTGTGCTGTAGACCAGGCTAAACTTAGTGGCGGTCAATTCATCCGTTCAGTCAATTGAATTCTGTCATTTCAAACCATAGTGTACAAGTAATGTGCAGGCGGGAAGTTGCCAAGTCTTTAGAGTTGGGGCTATGCAGCAGCAGCAGTTGTTGTTGTTGTATTCTTTTATTTAAATTCGCTCAGGGCACAGGCAATACTGCCTTCTCACCGGAGAGAGGATGCTCCGATTCCTACCAAAAACAAGAAATCTGCGATATGAATATGTATATGTATGAGAAAGATATGAGGAAAATGAATAATGATGATGTCGGATTACGATAGTTTAGTTGTTATGCAAGATTTCCCTGACGATTACAGATAAAGCGTTTCTGGAGGCAAATGTCCAGAAAGGATGCGAGAACAAAAATACAGCGTTCCTGAAGGCAATGGTGCACATAAATAGAGCATAAGGCAATGGTGCACATAAATAGAGCATAAGGCAATGGTGCAGAAAAGAGGTGAGAACTTACAAAAAAAGGCAATCGTGCAGAAAAAGAGGGAACTGAAGAACTAGCGGTTCTAGAGGCTAAGACACAAAGAGGTAGGGACAAGCGACTCAATACAGTGTCAGATGGTGCTCTTGAATTCATCCTTTTGTGATACACATACATTCATAGGGGCAGGTCAACATCTAACTTCAGCCGGCAGCTTATTAGAGAATGGCACCTTGGAAACAGATGGAGGACCGTCCAGCAGGACCCGGAAGGAAGGGGACACGTAAGAGCCATGTCACCTGTCCGCGAGTGGCCCTTCGGTCATGATCTTCTTGAGAAGGTGCGGTTGGGGTGAAGAAAGACGAAAACAAGTGACTTGACAGAGAGTGCAGGCAACGGAATACAAACATGAGGAGCTTTCGCTGAAAGAAACTCTCAATGGTGGACAATGAGAGTCTCTCTCATAGCGGCTGAGTCGCGATCGGGTTCTGCAGTTGTAGGATTGCTCGAACCCCGGACTTCGCCGATCTTTCGAGCCGAGTGAGACCAGCGGCAGACAGCGAGGGGAAGAAGGCATTTGTGGCATAGCACAGCTTGGCTTGTATCATGGCAACATACCATATCCGGCGGGCCATGATGCTAAGTGCATCCCCATGTCGCCATAGACGACTTACGGCCTTCCCTGTCTGGCTAGCAAGGTGTTGGATGTGGGACCACCAGCTCAGGTCGTCGTCGAAAATGATGCGCGCTTAGCTTGACGTTGCACAACTGCTTCTTTTGAGCTTTCTCTTTCTTTCTTGCCGTTGGCTTCACTTCAAAGTCTAATAATATATTTATTAGTGATAACCTTTTTGTAAAGGAAATAGGCTTCTCCCCCTGGCCCCGGTCACTCAACAACGCACCATTCAGTTAGCTTCCATACTAGTATTCACTTCTCAATAATAAACGGCGAGGGCACAGGAGGAGAAAGACGAAAAGACTAGACAGAAAACGACGACGGGAAAGACTCCCGGGAAAAGACTCAAAGGATCAACAAAGAACAAGCAGTAATAAACCGAGGACAAATCGTGACGACCAATCAGGGACTAATACGTACAGAACACATGACCAAGACCAAGACAACCAGACCACGGACGAATCACACATGACTCTCATTCCCAGACCAAACTAGCACTGCGCATGTACAGCATTCACTTGACAGTCACTCTCACACAGACGGAAGCACATCCTCACACTCTGACAACGCGTACTCCTGCATGCACCACATACCATAAACGTCACACATCACACCATACTCGCGCGTACACCTAGACCATATATGACATCAGACACTGGACTCCACCAGACAAGAACCAAATACAACGACATGCGTAAATCATAGTCGTAATACAAATAATGTTACATTTTGCTTGCGCCAGCATCAAACGAAAAGTACCTCAAAAGCACGCAGCTGTCAAAGAACTTGTGGGCACTGCAGGACCAGGGTGAGGATAATGACATTAGGTGGTCCATCGTCGACAGAGCAAAGACCTGCAGCAACATCACAAAAAAAGTGCGGCCTGTGCTTAGCAGAAAAAGTCAAGATCAACCGCGCTGGTGCAGCCACGCTCCTCGACAAAAAAAATCAGAATTAGTATCAAAATGTTGACACCAGAATAAGTTCTACCTGTGGCGCTACGGCACTGGTGTGACTTGGCCACCTGCATGCTGTTGCCAGTACCCGCCTGCCACCACCAGGGCCTGGCTGGCTGCCTGCCGTCACTGTAACCTGACTGTCACCTCTCCTTCTCTCCCTCCTTTTCACATCCCATGTAAAAATCTGACACCATCAACTCTACAACCTGTAATGTACTTGTAAAACAAAGAAATGTTTCAGTTCACCACAATATGTATTTTTCATTTCCTTTTCAGTTATATTACCCTTACCCTCACTGATATCGTCCCGACAGCCACCACTAAATATCGGTAAGGCCAGCAATACCATGTTCATGTACTGTGTGTATTGCTCCTGTACATGTATAGATATACCTGTGCATGTGTGTTTGTGTGTGTGTGTGTGTGTATGTATGCATGTATGTATGTGTGTGTGTGTGTCCGCGCACGGGTGTGTATGTATGTGTGTATGTATGTGTGTATGTATGTACATGTACATGTACATGTACATGTATGTATGTATGTATGTATGGTTTGTTCCACGGATGGGGTGCTACATCGCGAATACGCCAGCTATCAGAAGCGACTTGCTGGTCGCCTCGCCCTCAAGTGGGACAAGCCATTTTCAATCATCATGGCTTGGGTGCGAGTTCGCAGCCAATTTGCAGTGATCCATGCGGTCGACCTCCGGCTCCGCGGGTCTAGAAGGCGCCTGACAGGCCTGTCGACGCAGGATGGTGCTGGGGTAGGCATCGGCCATTGAACACTGAATTTCGTCTGTTTTACGTGGAATTTCTTGGAGTTTCCCAATGTATTGTACTTGAATAAAATTCTATTTTACCTTTCATGGTATCTCAATTTTTCACGTCTACATGACTTTATTTTGCCCGTAAAAGAGGCCGTTACCCCGAAAAAAAGTATGTACCGTATTTTCCGGTTGTAAGTAGACCTTTTACGACTTAAAATAGAAGGAGAAAGGGTGGGGGTCGACTTACAACCGGGATTCGACTTATAACCGGTAACTATCAGAATCTTTTAAAAAAATGACCTGCACTGCATGCACGAGTGCACCATGTTTACACATTTTGCCAGGTTATTGGCCTTTTTCAAGGATTGGGACGTTATATCCTCCAATAAGGAATGTTTACATGATTTGTTGATGTGTTAGTAGCAGGAGGTGGTTAGTAGTGCTTCTTTGGGTGAAAACTTAAAAACGCAGAATTGAGACCTCCAGATAGAAGGGTCGACTTATAATCGGGGTCGACTTACAACCGGTAAAATACGGTATGTAGGTATGTATGTATGTAAGCATGTATGTATGTACGCACTAGTCAGAACAACAGATGGCTTGATCAGTCACTGTGACTGATCAAACCATCTGTTGTTCTGACTAGTGTGTCACGGCTCTACCTTCCCGGTATCGAGCTCTCTTGGATTTCTGCTGGAATTCACAACAGTATGTATGACTGTATGTATGTATGTATGTATGTATGTATGTATGTATGTATGTATGTATGCTCTTGTAGCAGTTGAGCACTCTTGCGTGGGGTAGTGCCTTTGCTGTTTGCGTTATGCAGAGCTCACTGACTTGTCAGTTTGAGCACTCTGGCAAGGTACGTTCGGGCCTGATTGGAAATTTTTATTTCCATTGCTATCAGGTTCGGCCTCATTTCCTCTGTGCTGCGCTGATGAGTTCAAAAAGAACGAAACAGCATGCTGTCCGCAGATTGAGTATGTATGTATGTATGTATGTATGTATGTATGTATGTATGTTTGTATGTATGTGTGTATGTATGTATGTATGTATGTATGTATGTATGTATGTATCCACATAGCAGACTCAGCGGAAGATATTCAGGTTGGTTATAACGCTGAGTTTCATGCCGCTAGGCAATCATCCGCTAACTGATACTCGGATCTACCCAGCTGTATGCTTATAAACACATAGGGCCACAAGCATAAGCAAATTTAGCGCTAAATCTGGTGGCGTGCGGTGTGGGGAGAAAGCTGGCGTGGGCCAAGGCGTTTGGAGAGACAACAAATAAAAGGAAGTGCCAGGAGGGAGGCGGGCAACAGGCAAGAGTGAGCATGAAAGCGCAGACAAAGGTGATGGGGAGGCAATGTACAGCATTTTTTGATTTTGGGGTGCTCAGGCAAAGTGCAATACAGTACTTGGTGAGTTCATTTGATAGGTGTGAAATTTGCGAGGCGCAACTTGTTCTCATGCCTGCATTTTGAGATCATCTCAGACCGCTTGTTGAGCAGGAGCTTCTCCGGTGTCGTCAGGTTGTGGAATTTTTCTCTGCTCACGCCTGCCCGTCACCCAAAGACCCCCTAGCGATGTCACTGGCCCGTTTCCCGCCATCCTCCTTGCACATCCACCCATCTGCTGTACACTGAGTGTGTTCGATTATGCACTTGAATCGATTCATGAATCCATTCGCATGCATTCTAGTCGTTCGATTTTCATGTCATGAGCCCTGGAATCTGTTCGGAATCCATTCACCCTATTCACATGGGGTGATGTGAATAGCGCGAATCGATTCATGGATCGATTCATGAATCGATTCCCGGGCATAATCGAATGCACTCACTGCCTCCCCATCACCTTTGTCTGCGCTTTCATGCTCACTCTCGCCTGTTGCCCGCCGCCCTCCTGGCACTTCCTTATTATTTGATGTCTCTCCTAACGCCTTGGCCCATGCCAGCTTTCTCCCCACACCGCACGCCACCAGATTTAGCGCTAAATTTGTTTATGCTTGTTGCCCGATGACGTTATAAGGATACTGCTGGGTAGATCCGAGTATCAATTGTCTGATGATTGCCTAGCGGGATGAAACTCAGAGTTACAGCCAACCTGAATATCCTCCGCTGAGTCTGCTATTTATTAAGCTCTGTCTCTGACATTGAACACTCTCTGCAGCCCGGGGATCAACGGATTTATGTATGTATGTATGTATGTATGTAGCCAATTGAGTCATTTTTCCAAGATTCCTCTTGAGTAGGGATGTCAGCGAACGCACTGCGCAGGCCTCTGCGCATGCATTGCGTCATCGATTTTTTGAACGTGATCGCGGCCGACAGAGAAAACATGGTCAAAGAGTTGGTGGACAAGCCGTTGATTATTCACTCTCATTGTAATATCAAAAAGTATTCTTTCTAGACCAAAGAGTGGTATATTTGATAACATTTAATAACGATAGAAATTTTTACGATACTTCTCCATCGATGGAGAAGTATCGTAAAAATTTCTATCGTTATTAAAATTAATTAATGTTATCAAATATACCACTCTTTGGTCTAGAAAGAATACTTTTTGATATTAGAGAAAACATGGCCGCGGTCTGTTTGCACCGCTGGGAGTCGTAAAATTACTGTTCTTCTGTCCCCGCGACCATTCAAATCATACGCGATACAGGAGGACCCACGAGCTCACCACGTTCTCCCCGGTCGATTTCTCTGAAAGTTTGCACATCGTGAAACACCAGTATGAGAGGTGTTCAGGCCAATTTTCAAGGGATTACCCTGGTTGGATGGTTCCAAAATCGGACTTGCATTTCTCGCTCGCGGCCATTTCTTGCGCGATGGAAGCGCCCTGCCCTGGTGAGTAACCAGCGTCGCGCTTGGTAGAGAGTTGCTGCAATCAGCTCCCTGATGTCTTCGCTGCCATTGTCAGAAGCGATGGGCCCTGAATTATTTGTTTGATAGTCTCTGGATGCTACTTTTCCTCAGCCTAGTTTTCAGCCATTCCGTGCATCTTCTTCGCACGATTTATTTTGCAAAAAAATGAAAGGGTTCATGAGTATTTTTGTCGGCCGCGCGTAGATGGGCCAGGCTGACCTGCGCAGATGGGCTGCGCAGTGCGTTCGCTGATATCCCTATCTTGAGTCTCTCTCCCCTCTCCCGGGGAGACCCACGTGACCAGTTTTGGCAGTGAGCAACAAGTACAGTACGTACAAGTATGTATGTATATAATATAACCTAACCAGTTGATTATATGGGAAATATAAACCTGTATACAAACCGAGGCGAAGCCGAGGTTTGTATATTGGTTTATATTTCCCATATAATCAACTGAGTAGGTTATATTATGCTTATACTGAGCTGATATACAAACTCCCCTAGTGTGATCCTAAAAAAAAAAAGGAGTTTATATACCAGTTTATACACCAGTTTATACACCAGTTTATATACCAGTTTATATACCAGTTTATATTCTCGTCATCGAAGTACCTGTTATATGCAAAATACAAGTCTGGAGTGTTGCGTGGGGAGAGATGGGAGTTTGTATACAAGCTCAGTATAAGTATGTATATAATTATGTATGTATGTACTCAATCTGCGGACAGAACTGTTTCGTCCTTTGTGGACTCGTCAGCGCAGCACAGAGGAAATGAGGCCGAACCTGATAGCAATGGAAATAAAAATTTCCAATCAGGCCCGAACGTACCTTGCCAGAGTGCTCAAACTGACAAGTCAGTGAGCTCTGCATAACGCAAACAGCAAAGGCACTACCCCACGCAAGAGTGCTCAACTGCTACAAGAGCAGGAGCGAAATGCTCAATCTGCGGACAGAACTGTTTCGTCCTTTGTGAACTCGTCAGCGCAGCACAGAGGAAATGAGGCCGAACCTGATAGCAATGGAAATAAAAATTTCCAATCAGGCCCGAACGTACCTTGCCAAAGTGCTCAAACTGACAAGTCAGTGAGCTCTGCATAACGCAAACAGCAAAGGCCCTACCCCACGCAAGAGTGCTCAACTGCTACAAGAGCAGGAGCGAAATACTCAATCTGCGGACAGAACTGTTTCGTCCTTTGTGGACTCGTCAGCGCAGCACAGAGGAAATGAGGCCGAACCTGATAGCAATGGAAATAAAAATTTCCAATCAGGCCCGAACGTACCTTGCCAGAGTGCTCAAACTGACAAGTCAGTGAGCTCTGCATAACGCAAACAGCAAAGGCACTACCCCACGCAAGAGTGCTCAACTGCTACAAGAGCAGGAGCGAAATACTCAATCTGCGGACAGAACTGTTTCGTCCTTTGTGGACTCGTCAGCGCAGCACAGAGGAAATGAGGCCGAACCTGATAGCAATGGAAATAAGAATTTCCAATCAGGCCCGAACGTACCTTGCCAGAGTGCTCAAACTAACAAGTCAGTGAGCTCTGCATAACGCAAACAGCAAAGGCACTACCATGTGTGTGATGTATGTATGTATGTCCACAAAGGACGAAACAGTTCTGTCCACAGATTGAGTATGTATTTATGTATGTATGTACAACTTGAATATTACACATATGTATGTGTTGCGTT